AGAATGCTCTTTCTGGTAATCTGTCCTCATCAAACTGCACCATTACAGATAAGCTATCCAGCTTTTCTTTATCTCTAACATATTTCAGACGTTTGACCCCTACCACTTTTGCTCCTGATAAACTTCTCTTGATTGTGTCTTCTGATACATCTGTTGGGATCCCTGTTATTACTCCCTTTATCCATTTCTTCTCTTCCAACAGTGTACACGAAAATTTTTTCCCTGCTAATGTCTTTAAGCCTACACAAATTATATCCGGTTTGTTTTCATGATTAGATATGTGCTTTTTAAATTCTTGCCCATTTGCAATTAAGCTTCTTGCATTCCATTGAAATATTGTTAACACCATTATGAACCACCACATACTGTTTGAGTATTTGATGCTTGCATCTTTAGTTTGTCATTAATCATTTCCACTGAAATGCCCTCTATCTCTAGGTATTTTTCAGCTGCTTTTATTATAATTTTGATTCTCTCTGTCCGGCTTTCCGTTTGTGCAGAACAATTCACCACTTCCGCCATAAACGTGACAAATGCCACTTTGTCATAAACCCTTATACTCTCTTTTGTTGTTTCTTGCACTTTATCCATCTTTTGAGTAGGAACTATCTTTTTGTTCTCTTCTAGCTCTGGAGTCTTTCCCACTTTTTTTAGTGCCTCAGAATATGACAATCCCTCCTCTGTTCTTACAGTCTGCACTTGTGCTGCATGCTTCCTCACTTTACATCCTCCATAACCCGCACTATGTTCTTCTCCACAATTACAACACTTTGGGTTAACTCCTTGTCCGCATTTGCCATATTCATGCTCACCGCCACACCTTGCACATCGTTGTTTACCTCTGCAAACAGCTGCCACATGACCAAATTTTTGGCATTTAAAACATCTTAACGGAGGAGGAACATAAAGTCTGACCGGGAAGCTAATGAATCCTAAGAATACTTTGTCCGGTAATTTATCCTCATCGAAGTGAATCATTACTGAAAGGCTATCAACCTTTTCATTATTTCTGCTGTATTTCAGTCTTTTAACCTCAATCACTGCCGCCCCAGTTAGACTTTTCTTGATCTTTTCTACTGTCACTTCAGTTGGGATACCAGTTATTACTCCTTTGACCCATTTCTTTTCTTCCGGTATCGAGCAGATCACTTTTTGTGCACAAATCGACTTTATTTTCAATGCCACTTTTTGTTGCCTACTATCCTTACAATATAGGATTAGTCTTCCATCTCTCAACTTCTTGACACTTTCTATTGATCCTATCGTTTCCTTAATTACTTTAGACAGCTTCAGCGGATTTATTATCTTAAAAGACTCATCCACAAACTTCATCATTACCTTGAACTCCTCTTTCTTTCCTCTTATCGGATGATTTTCATTTCCACTGTCAGTTTCAGATGTATTACTCCAGATTTTCTTTCTTTTCCGATTTTCTACTAAACTCCACTCATTATTCCCGTTCCCTCCTTCTTCATCCACGCCAAACATTTCATCCTCCATTTCCGGATCCCTTCCGGACTCTACGTCACTACCTACCATGCACACTCCAGTCACAGATCAGCTGTTGCCAAAACCAACCACCAGCCTAACACGCCTGTCAGGTGCGCTGCCCGCTTCTTCTTCTTCTGAGCGCTACTGGTGCATGTGGCTGCTGTCACTTCGAGGTTTTGAGACAAAAAGAGCGTTTCCTCCTCTAAAACCTGGTACCGTAACGTTTTCATTTTTTTAGTACCGACTTGGTGCCGAAATACCGGGTCTTGGTAGTTGACAACACTAGTAATTATACTTATTTTTAATCACACACACACACACATAATGTGAAAAAATGCAAAATAATTTTTATATTATAATATCAAATAATTATAATTTATATTATATAAAATATTATAATATATTTGCTCTGTCTATATCTTTTTTCCCCAAATAATTTTTTCACAGAAACATATTCGTTTTTTTTTTTTTTCAATCTTGCTGCTAAAATACATATTTTTTTGGCACATTTCCTGCAGCCCCTTTGTGACACTTGACCTAGACTACGATTATCTCTGTGACCATCCTGGAGTTCCCTGCTCAATGGGGATATTTTGAATTTGCCATGAGTCTCAAGTGGTTCTAGGCCGAACATGAGCACAGATTTGACACCATTTCACCTGAAATTCCCTTTCATACTTTGAATTCGTATTCTTTGCTGTGTGTGAAATGCTTAGGATGTTGTGGGAGAATGTTAGCACACAAAGAGGTCACTTAGCTCATTGGAAATGCAGACTGTGCATCTCCTGCCTTTCCTTTTGAACCAACCCACTGTAAACTCAACCGTTATCACATACATCGCCATAGAGCTTGACAGAATCTACATGTTGACCTTGAGCAACCGGTGCGAATATGCTACCAGCACCCAAAGTGCCCTAATAACTCCATTGGGAGAGTCAGTGTTCTGCAAATGTAATAGAATGCCTGAACCCAGTGCTTGTGCAGAAAGGATAAGTGTATTTTGTGCAGAGGGCACACATTTTTGTGGGCACTTACAGAACCGGCACTCTGAAATTAATTTCTCATCGATCTGTCTCTGTACATGGAAAGAGGGCTCAAACTGCCCTTGGAGGAAGTGATTACCATGATTGTAGGGTGTATTGGACCTACAAATCACCCTTACTTGTTTCTGAAATACCTTGAATGAAAGAGAAAAGAGGGAAAAGGGGAAGAAGATGTTTTGTAACTCCTAAATGTATTACCGTTGAACTAACTCTGAGTTAGAAAGAGCCGCGAGACAGGCTTTCAGAGCCGTTTTTGACAGCCTGCTGCATGTCTTGTCCTATTTATGCGTTCAAAGCGGTGTTGAATTTATCTTCTAGCACTGTCGGTGGTCTTACAAAGGGATTCTTGTCTATTTCAAGCCGATGTTTCAAACATGAACTCATTCTTCTGCTCTCACAGGGTAAGGACGTTTCCAAAGGAGTCAGCTTTGCTGGGCCGGGACATGGTGCGGGCACTTATGTACTACGCCCTGAAAGTGTGGAGTGACATCGCTCCTCTCAACTTCCATGAGGTGGCGGGGAATGAGGCGGACATTCAGATTGACTTCACCAAAGCGGACCATAATGACGGATACCCTTTCGATGGACCCGGTGGCACAGTAGCCCACGCATTCTTTCCCGGAGAACGATTCACAGCGGGCGACACGCACTTTGATGATGATGAAGCCTGGACCTTCAGATCGCCAGGTAAGACAGCATGAGATCTATAAATAAGCAGCAATGTATGTTGTGTTGTTCGCTGTGTTCAGCCAAGGAGCTATATGTATTTTTTTTTTTAATAAATTAATTACTTTAATTTTTTTTTTAATTCATTGGCCAAAAAGCTGATTCATTTGTAAAAATGTTACAGTACTGTTCAAACATTTAGGGTCAGTAAGATTTTTCAAAGAAAAAAAATGTGAAAGAAGCCTCTTGCTCACCAAGGCTTCATTCATTTGATCAAAAATACAGTAAAAACAGTATTATTGGGAAATATTATTACAATTTAAAATAACCGTGTTCTATTTTAAAATGTAATTTCATCCTCTATGTCAAAGCTGAATTTTCAGTAGCCATTTCTCCTGTATTTAATGTCACATGATCCTTCAGATATATTTCTTATATGCTGATTTGCTGCACAAAAAAACATTTCTTATTATTATCAATGTTAAAAACAGCTGTGCTTAATATTTTTGTAGAAACCATAATACATTTTTTCAGGATTTTTTGATGAACACATTTTCAGAAGAACAGCATTTATTTGAAATAGAAATGTTTTGTAACAATGTAAAAGTCTTTACTCTCACTATGATTAATTGAATGTGTCCTTGTGGAATAAAGTAATTTTTTTTTTTTTTAAACTGATCTTACTGATCCCAAAGCAGCAGAACAGGTTGAATAACTAAATGTAAATTTGTTTTCTGTTTTGAACAAAAAAAATGTATGCAAATTGAAGGATAAATATAAAAGTAAATATATAAAAACAAAAATATGCTATGGTTTGTGTGCCAAAAAGTAACTATATATAACCGTTGAGAAATGATTGACAGGCAAAGATTGTTTCTGATTGGCTAATGGTCTAACTGGCTAAAAAGAGTGCTGTCTACTCCCGAAGCTCCTTTTTTTTTTCTTTTGTCTCAGACTGTCACAGAGACAGGTGTGATTTCTCAGGACATCTTTTTCTGTCAGGTAATTGAGACATTTTGTGTGCAGTACTCCAAAACTGGATCCTGAGCCCAAGTGGCAGGGCCTGTCTGAAAGCAGCAGATGCTCTTGTCTCAGTTCTTCACTCTTCTCTCATGGGCCATAACCAGACTCGACCATCTCCAAGATGCATCACCTAGGTAGCCAAAGGTGCACATGTTTGCCGAGAGGCTGCGCTAACCAAGAGGCTGATAATTAGCATGGGTGCAGGTGGGTTTCCTTTTACCCCATCCTGCCCAGTCAGTGAACCCTGATGGAATTGGTTCAAACGACCCTTTGCATCCCTACTCTGCTCTCTTGTGGCTATGGACCATATGCTCATGGACAGCCGTAGAGTCTTCCCCAATTAGGCCCCCCATCAGACGAGCAGCTGTTTGCTCCGTCCTTTGGCAGGTGCGGATGTAATATGAAGGACTGAATGAAGAGAGAGAGAAAACGAGAGAAAGAGAAATGGGGAGGGAAAGGCCTACTTAAAAATCACAAGCCTTTCACGACCCACTTACACCATCTCAACATACACAGCTGAGCGTCAGACCCACTCCTCCACCTCTTTGTGTGTGATCAACTGACCCTTCACCAAAACACTGCCATTTCCATGTGTCTGCTTCATTAGCTGTCCATCTAATGACCACCTGCACCTGGACCTCCCATATGCTCATCAATTATTCCTAACTCGTCATCACCAGCCATTATTTATAATGCGGCGTTGTAACAAGCCCAAGATCTCAGCCAAAAATTTCCCAATTTACTGTGTTATTTTGGGCTTTCCATCTGCCCTCTAAGACTGTCCAACAAGACTATCCTCATTTTTTGACTGTTTATATAAATGTCAGACCTCAGACCCCACACTTTATGTTGTAGCCTAATGCGACAGTGCTTTGAATAATTTTTTTTATTTAACATTTTTGATTTGTTAAATTCTGATTTTTTCACATCAGTCAACACTTCATACCCATAACAACAAGGCAAAAAAAGACCAAATCTGATTTTTGCTTTGTCTTTAGGGGGTATGGAGTGTAGGTTGATGTAAACAATAATGTATATGTGACCCTGGACCACAAAACCAAACTTAAGTCGCTGGTGTATATTTGTAGCAATAGCCAAAAATACAATGTATGGGTCAAAATTATTTATTTTTCTTTTATGCCAAAAATCAATAAGATATTAAGTAAAGATCATGTTCCATGTAGATATTTTGTACATTTCCTAGGGTAAATATATTAAAACTTAATTTTTGATTAGTAATATGCATTGCTAAGAACTTCATTTGGACAACTTCAAAGGCGATTTTCTCAATATTTTGATTTTTTTTTGCACCCTCAGATTCCAGATTTTCAAATAGTTGTATCTCAGTCCTATCCTAACAAACCATACATCAATGGAAAGCTTATTTATTCAGCTTTGAAAATTGACCCTTATGACTGATTTTGTGGTCCAGGGTCACATATGTGATACACATATGTTAAAATATATGTTAAAATGCTTTATTTAAAGATGATTTTCTCAATATTTAGATTTTTTTGCACCCTCAGATTCCAGATTTTCAAATAGTTGTATCTCAGTCCTATCCTAACAAACCATACATCAATGGAAAGCTTATTTATTCAGCTTTGAAAATTGACCCTTATGACTGATTTTGTGGTCCAGGGTCACATATGTGATACACATATGTTAAAATATATGTTAAAATGCTTTATTTACGTCAGCCTTTATTGTTATATTTCAGTAGCCCTTACTCCAGTCTTCAGTGTCACGATCCTTCAGAAATAATTCTAATATGATGATTTGGTTATTATCAATGACTACGTTTACATGGACATCAGTAATCTAATTATTTACCTTATTCTAAATAACGTGATGATGCCATGTACAGTTTTGGGTGTTTCATTTTTAATTTTATGAAAGCTTCAAGTGCAGTTAATTATTTGAACGTCGTATACAGACGACGGCGGGCGTTGAACCTCTTTTATTTGCCGTCAAACGGTTGAGCACTGCCGTGTGTGTATCAAAATCGGAGTATTGTTGGCCATGTAAACGTACTCAATGTTGAAAACAGTTGTGCTGCTTAATATTTTTGTGGAAAGTGTGATTATTGAAATAGAAATAATTTCTTTACATTATAAATGTATTTTTTTAAATGTTTAATGTACCCTTTCTTGATACAAGTATTAATTTCTTAAGAAAATCTTGCTGACGGCAAACTTTTGAACAGTAGTGAATATGCACTCATCCACACACACACATACACACACACACAAAAATGAAACCTTTAATCGTAACCTAGCAGATAAACAATGTATAGGCCATTTTTTCAGTAACAAGTATGTGTTTTTTGTGGTTTGACCACTCGACTAAATCTTTGACTAGGCATAGAGAAATTGCGTAATAAACATCACACTTTTTTCAGTCTTTCAGTTTGTGCAGTTTAGCGTTATTTTGTCCATTCTTAAAGGTCCCATATTGTCAAAACTGAAATTTCCTGGCTTTTTTCATGATAACTGAGGTCTAGGTGCTATGTAACTACCATATAAGTTTCAAAACAGTCAGTCCACAGTAAAATTCACACAGCCTGCTTAAAGTTCTAGCTATTTTTCACGAACCGTTGTGACTTCCGTAAAAAGTTGACGTCAGAACTACA